TGGTGAAGACGCTGTGAACACTATTGAAATGACAACAAAGGATTTAGAATATTACACAAGCGTAGTTGAAACAGCGGCAGCAGGTTTGAGAGGATTGACTCCAATTCTGAAGGAAGTTCTACGGTGGGTAAAATACTATCCAACAGCATCGCATACTACAGAGAACTCTTTCGTGAAAGGAAGAGTCAATCAATGCAGCAAACTACACTGTTGTCTTATTTTAACAGACTGCCACAGCCACCCCAACCTTCAGCAACCACCAGCCTGCCTGATCAGCCAGCAGCCATCAGCATTGAGGCAAGACCCTCCACCAGCAAAAGGATTACGACTCCCTGAAGGCTTAGATGATGGTTAGCATTTTTTAGCAATACAGTATTTTTAACTTAAGATATGTACATTGTTTTTTAGACAAAATGTAATTGCCACTGAATAGACTACAGTATAGTGTAAACATAACTTTCATATGCACTGGGAAACCAAAAAATTCGTGTGACTTGCTTTATTGCAATATTCCCTTTTCTGTGGTGGTCTGGAACTGGACCTGGAATATCTCAGAGGAATGCCTGTATGTTATATATATATATCAAAAAAACAAAAAACCAAGCCCGAAGCTGTCAAGTTGATTTTGACTCATAGTAATCTTTATGGAAGCAGACTGACACATCTTTCTGCTGTGGAGTGGCTGGTGGGTTTGAATCACGGACCTTTTGGTCAGCAGCCAAACACTTTAACCACTGCGCCACCAGGGTTCCTTATATTATATATAAAACCCATTGCTGTCTAGTCGATTCCGACTCATAGCCACCCTATAGGACAGAGTAGAACTGCCTTGTAGGATTTCCAAGGAGTGGCTGGTGAATTTGAACTGCTGATCTTTTGGTTAGCAGCCCAGCTCTTAACCACGGGGCCATCAGGGCTCCCATATTATGTATAGCATACTAATATATAATATGATAGTACATAGATAGATACATTAATTATACAAAGTATAAAACCATATATCATATAAGGGGGATGTCAGCACCAATTCTTAAGAAGTTAACGCATTTGTGGGTCATGAGCAGGTGTCAGCAGGTGACAGTCTGGAGGCTAAATCCGGGGACCCTGTGGAACAAGGCAGTGACAGCAATGGGTTTCCCTGGGGTCCTGGGCTGGCCGGGGTGGTGTTGCGGGAGGCAGGTTACCTGGCAGGTATGGAGGCAGGGCCATCGCTGGAGGTGGCTTTCGAGCTCCAGAAGGCAAGCCAGAGCTTCTCAACGTAGTGGAACTGGAGGTTCATCACGACGTCCAGTGTGGCCTGGGGGGAGAGACGGCTGGTGAGCAGCGTCCTGCAGGCCCCATGCAGCTGCGAGCCTGTCTGTCCTCAGAACGTGGCGCAGCGCCACACGGGCCCGGCGGGGGTCTGGACAGCTACCGAGAGCAGCTCAGGTTCGGGAATGAAGGGAAGAAGGCTTGCTCAGGGAGGACATTGCATCCACTTCCTCACCAGAGGGAGGAGGCCTGACGGGCAGACATGGGTCTCCTTTCCCACCCGCCAGGGGGGAGCAAGAGACCCCAGACTCGCAGGCTCCAGGAGGGTGGCGGTCACCTCGCAGTGCCGCCTGTAGGCCAGCTGCAGGGCCTTGACGTCGCGCAGCGTGAGGTCCCCCTGCAGCAGCATGCCGTCCAGGTCCGGGGCCGGGAACTCCGGGAAGACGTGGGAGACATCTAGGCAGAGGGAACCGAGTGTCAGACACGGAGCTCTGAGCACGACGCGCTCATTAGCAGAGCAGGTCCACACGCAGAAGCTGGGCCAGGATGCTCACCTGCTGGGGACGCTGGTGGCCAGTGGGCCCTCAGTGTGCAGCGGCTGATGGGCAGCCCCGGGGGAGTCCTGGCTCCCCACACGAGTCACTCGACTTTGTAAGCTTCCATATGAAATGGGGACAAGAGCGCCACCTCCCTGAGATGTTAAACATGCTGACACAGATAAAGACAAGCTGAGGGCTTGGCACACAGCGTGCCCTCCGAGGCCACCATGCTTATCATCACCAGCAGTGCGAGCCGCTTCCGGCTGCTGGGCAGGGGCCCTGGTGCCCTGGTGACTGACTTCCCAGGAGACGGACCGACGGCGCCTTGACCTCTCAGAAGACCCAGCATGAGTGCTCTGCCCAGGCTCAAAAAAAAACCCACTAAAACCACAGAGGCTGCTGAGTTTCTTGGGGTTCATCTGAGCCCTGACACTGACACGGGCCCTTCATGTCACT